GGCTCGTTGTTGGGGGGGGGAAGGTGGCAAAGATGCGGTAGGTAATAAACATTTTAAGGCCGGTTGGGTTTAGGGACATGGTTTTTTATTATTATTTTTTTTTTACATATTTGCGACTGATAAACTTCAAAACAGTAGCTTGGAAGCGACTGTGGAACTACATTTCTCTAACCATGAATCGAAATACTGTTGAGAGAATTTATACTGAATTTTATTTCGCGCTATTTGAGATGAATTTCAGTCCGAAATCGGCAGTTGTAATCTGCTGCGACTCTCGCGTGTGTTTTTAGGGCTGTAGGAACTGAAAGACTTACGACAATCTTCATGGGAAGAAATCGTTGTGAAAGAGTGATACTGCATACATATTATGCTAATAATTTTTCAAGTACTGTATTACTGTAACAAAGAGAAAGTATCCGCGTACTTTGATTGTAAAACTCGTGAGTCATGTATGCATTAAAAAATTCCATTTAGTCCACTTTCAAAAGAATTTTTCCCAGAAGCCCTATTGTACTGGACGCAAGTATTTTTTGAAATCTAGATTGAGGTAGAAAATGGGTGTTGACGACCTTTCAAAATGCAAAAGACGCCGCAGATTTGTTCATGACATGACATGATAAAAATAAAAGAGACCACAACCTGCAGCTTAGACTAGGTAATGTACGGATGCGAAAAAGAAAGAAAACTTTATTATATATTGCTGTTTCGTGTTATTTTTTTCTCGAACCCATCTGAAACTTCGTGAAAGAACCCAGCGAGGTTCATTCAGGCAATTATTTTTGTTTATTTAATAATCCTCCGATTCCTAGTACCTATTCTTTTTATTTCCTCTGGAAATATATATGGTCGTTGCTGTTCTGTGTTACTTTTTTCTCGAACCCATCTGAAACTTTGTGTTTGAACCCAGCAAGGTTCATCCAGGCAATTTTTTTGTTTATTTAAAAATCCTCCGATTCCTAGTACCTATTATTTTTATTTCTTCTGAAAATATATACGGTCGTTGCTGTTCTGTGTTACTTTTTTTTCTCGAACCCATCTGAAACTTTGTGAAAGAACCCAGCAAGGTTCATTCAGGCAATTCTTTTTTGTTTATTTAATAAATCCTCCGATTCCTCCCATACTCGGGTGCGCGTCAACGCGCGTGTTGTCCTTGTTTCTTCCGATATGCTCTGACTGGAATAGGAGAGGAATGAAAAGAAACTGCGATTGTATTCATGTCCCTGCTTATCAAGAAGTGCCTTTTTGCCTGCGTTTTCCTCAGCGGCTTGCAACCGAACTCGGTGCAGTGCCCGGCTAAAAGTACCCGGTGACTGAAGGAAAAACCAGCAAGGCTTAGGGAGAGCCCTCTAAAGAGACATACGAAGCACACACATACATGAACTAAGATGTGTGTGTGTGTGGGAATGAAGTATGGACCACTAACAGTGTTCCCAAACCTTTTTCGACCCACGGGCCGGCTAATTTTCCTAAAATTTTCTGCGGATCGGCATATTTCCATAACAATTTCTGCGAACCGGCAGCGTTCCATAAAAATATTTTCATACTGGCAGAAAAATATTAAATTCTGTACCTCCCACAAAGTCCTCCAAACGAAATTTTTTTTCTTCAAAAATCAAGTTAAGAACCAATGAAGTAGGTACAGAATAGTGAAGTGTCTTCAAAAAATTAGAAGCTGGGCTTGAAAAACGGTTTCCCGGAAGGAAAACTAGAAATAAATTATTGCAGCAGGTGAAAATTACTCTTGAGTGTGTTATTAAGTCAACTTTTATTATAATCACATAATTTCAGCTGCCATTGTCTTACAAAACTATCAGATAACAATAGCAGATTTCTTAGAAACTTGAAATGCATTTATTATACTGAAAATCTCCCGCGGACCGGCAAAAAAAAACTTCTGCGGACCACGGGTTGGGGAACACTAGACTAAATAGTGGCGATGGGTGTTTTTCTAAATGCCCTCAGGCGCTCCCGAAACCCGCCGAAATAACTGTTCCAATACTGTATATGGCATTGGTTTTTAAGGCTTTGCCCTTGTTAGAATCCTGACGATGATTTCATTCTATTGTATGGCTATGTTCATTCATGTGATTGGGCGAAAAAAAAAATAAAGAGATCAGGTCTCCAAAAACTGAACACCTTAGGTAAAAATACTAGTTAAAGAACTCTAATTAAAGTGCTCCTTGCGTAAAAACCTCAGAAGCAGAACCAATGCCGAACATTTTCTAGGTGAAAAGTTGAAGATGGTCATTTTGTCAAATCTAGATTCTTGAACTAGGGAAAATGGTTGAAGAATTGTGCTGTTCATATCGAAGAGATTTAGCGGTTTTTTTTCTTGAATGGTTTATTTTTGGATGGTTGACATTTTCTTTTATTGGAGAACTTCTGAAACTATTTTTGCGTGTGGGATTTTGTGAATTTAATTGACGGGAATGGAGGCGAATGTTTTACCGATGGTTTTTTTTGTTTTTTGTGAAAGCACAGCAAGGTATTTAAAGTCCCTTTTTTCTTTCTCTTTTACAGGTGAAAGTTGTGAAGTTCAGCTATATGTGGACTATCAACAACTTCAGCTTCTGTCGAGAAGAGATGGGCGAAGTTCTGAAAAGTTCCACGTTTTCGGCTGGGGCCAGCGACAAGTTGAAATGGTGAGTTTTTGGGTTTTTTTTTTTTTTGAAGTCGTATACTGTACACGCATTATACAAAACCTGAAGAATGCTATTCTTTTTCTTTTATTCACAGAATATATATGCATTAGTTTTACAAATTGAAATATGCAACGCCTTTTCAATTAAAGAAAGAATTATTTCTGCGCTGAAAAGCTCTGTAAATTTGCTGATAGATCGATTTATTACCATATTTTATGGCTTACCTGAGGATTCTTGCTTAATTTTTGTTGCATTCTTCAGTCATATTAAAAAAAATTGAATAAATCTCACCATCTCCGAGCGAGGCACAGAAAACATGTGGCATTTTTTTCCTGTCGAAATAAACCCTGAAAAATAGCTTTACAAAATACTTGCGTGATTCAAACTTGAAACAATTCAACACGATTCAAACATATCCCAGCTGACTTTGTTTCCCAGTGTTTCATCATCGCCAACGGAGGCACAAAAACTTATATTTTTTCGGTTGAGATTAACCTAAAAAATGTATAAAAGAACTTTTAAATTACAGGAACTGATCGATTCAAAAATTTCTAGCTGGATTTGTTTCCGTGCGTAGGAAGTTTTTCATAATTGTCCGTGAGGAAAGTACTCAGTACTGTACAGTGAAAAAAAAGCACAAAACAGAAATACATTGTACAACGTATCCCACGGAAAAGCGTCGGTACTGAAAAACATAATTGTATTTGAACTCCGTCCCGGATAAAATAAAAAATACACGGTCTAGAATCACCGAGTGAGTAAAAGAACCCGAAAATACCATAATACGTTCATATTTTTTTTTTTGTCTGTGTGCTTTCCTTCGACTCGCACTGCGTCGTTATTAAAAATAAAATCGTGGACGAGAGGCTAGAGTCGGTTTAAAAAGAGTGCATTGATGATAATTAAAAGTTAATTACTGTCATTACTGAATAAATTAAAGAAAGAATTATTTCTGCGCTGAAAAGCTCTGTAAATTTGCTGATAGATCGATTTATTACCATATTTTATGGCTTACCTGAGGATTCTTGCTTAATTTTTGTTGCATTCTTCAGTCATATTTAAAAAAAAAATTGAATAAATCTCACCATCTCCGAGCGAGGCACAGAAAACATGTGGCATTTTTTCCAGTCGAGATAAACCCTGAAAAATAGCTTTAAAAAATACTTGCGTGATTCAAACTTGGAACAATTCAACACGATTCGAACATAACCCATCTAACTTTGTTTCCCAGTGTTTCATCATCGCCAACGGAGGAATAGAAAACTTTTTTTTCGGTTGAGAATAACCTAAAAATGTATAAAAGAACTTTTAAATTACAGGAACTGATCAATTCAAAAATTTCTAGCTGGGTTTGTTTCCGTACGTAGGCAGTTTTTTCATAAGTGTCCGTGAGGAAAGTACTCAGTACTGTACAGTGAAAAAAAGCACAAAACAGAAATACATTGTACAAAGTATCCCACGGAAAAGCGTCGGTACTGAAAAACATAATTGTATTTGAACTCCGTCCCGGATAAAATAAAAAATACCCGGTCTAGAATCACCGAGTGAGTAAAAGAACCCAAAAATACCGTAATACGTTTATATTTTTTTTGCAGACACACGAAAGGAAGCTGAGCGTGACGCAGCAATAATTTTTATTTTAGCACCTGCTCTCCGATCTCAGCCAAATTTTTCTCACGTAACTACTATTAATTTTCAATTAATGACAGTAATGACTTATGAGAGCACGTTGTGGTCATTTTACCGAGTTTTTATTTCACCGTTGCTCTAATTATCTGAACCGAACCGTATCGGTGATGAAGTAACCTCAATGAAAACTAGAGTGAAACTTTTTGCGTGACCGTGTCTGGCAATTTTATGAGGCGTGGCGTCAGAACTGAAAATTTACCGTTGCTCTAATTATCTGAACCGAACCGTATCGGTGATGAAGTAACCTCAATGAAAACTAGAGTGAAACTTTTTGCGTGACCGTGTCTGGCAATTTTATGAGGCGTGGCGTCAGAACTGAAAATTTTTATTACAAGTGTTCTTCGAAAAATTAGTTTTATGTTAGCAAATTGGTATTGTATCAGAGGAGCATTTTGTTGAGGTCTTCTACGAAAAATAAATAGGCTTGTTTGCAGAATTGTTTGACCATTGACTCTTGTTTTATATGGGAGAAAGCCACAGAAAATAATTGAAGGTTCAAATAATATATTTTCCCTGCATTTTAATTTATGTAGTACAGTACAGTAGTAACGAATATATTTAGAGTTCTGCGCATTTTGGGTCAAGTAAAAGAGCAGAGCTGTTGAAAGTTTTTTCTATCAACTGTTCAATGAAAGCTAACACTTACAAGATCAGGTGGAGTGATTTTTAATGACAATCCCAGTTATCGAGATGCTCTTTGTTTTGGAAGACATCCAACCACCCAATGACATGTAAATGCAGAAATCAAATTTTCAAAATTGATTCTGAGCATGGGCGTGTGATTCTCAGCAATAAGCCTATGATATCCCTAGAAATATACCTCAATTTATCTGATTTTTTTTGCATATTTTTCATTCAGGGGTGGATATTTTTTGTGGCACTAGTTGTCATTAAATTGGGGTTTCCCTTGAGAACACACTGGAGGCAGAATAGTTTCCAGGGAAATTTGTGGCATTAAATTGAGGGTTGACAGTACATGTAAATGTAAAAAAAAAATCAGATTTTATAAATTATACATAGCGCGGGGCATGTGATCATCTGTGAATGATAACCCGATGATATTTCTATAAACTTTGTATACCTTAATTTATCTGATTTTTGAATTTTTTTTTTCGTTCGGGGCAGGATATTTTTTTGTCAATAATGAATCGGATTTTTTCTTTAAAAAAAATAATAAAACTGGAGGGAGATTTTTTCCAGGGGAATTTGTGGCATTGAATCGAGGGTTGGCTTGTAGAATTTTTTGAGAAAAATGTAATGATTGCGATTTCCCTTTCAACAAGTGCGAGATTGTATTGATTTTTTGTTGTTGCGGTGAACAACAACCTCGTGGTCCTGATGATGGAAATTGAACGTAGATTTGATTGATTTTTTTTCTTTCATTCACTCATGGGGTGTTATTTATTCTATAATTTATTATTTTATTTTATTTTCCTTGGCCATGAAGGTGCCTGCGAGTGAATCCCAAGGGCCTGGACGAGGAGAGCAAGGACTACTTGTCCCTCTACCTGCTCCTGGTGTCGTGCAACAAGACGGAAGTGCGGGCCAAGTTCAAGTTCTCCATCCTGAACGCCAAGCGCGAGGAGACGAAGGCGATGGAGAGCCAGCGGGCGTATCGGTTCGTGCAGGGCAAGGACTGGGGCTTCAAGAAGTTCATTCGCCGCGACTTCCTGTTTGACGAGGCCAACGGGCTCTTGCCTGACGATAAGCTCACTCTGTACTGCGAGGTTGGTTTCTCTTTTTTTTTTCTTCTTTCTCTTCTTTTTTCTTCTTTCTCTTCTTCTTTATTGTTGTTGTTGTGATTGTGTGTGTGTGTGTGTGTCTCTCTTGTTTTATTTATTTTTTATTCCTTTTATTGTGGATGCACGGGGGGGCTGGGATGTCCCAGTTCCACGCGTTATTGTTACAGTACAGTTGAACCTCACTGAGTGGAACCTTCTAAAGTCGTACACCCCACTAACTCGAATATTTTCCAATCCCTTTCTGGCTTCCCATAGAACCAATGCATTAAGAACCTCCCTAACTCAAAGTATTTTTCTCTGACACCTCTGTAAGTCAAATTTTCTGAGGTCTTTTGGTTATTATTTCCTTGAAATATTAAAAAGAAAATCAATAAAACAAATAGTTTTATGCATCTTGAAATTAAGTGAAAGACTAATTGAACAAATGAACCCATGCCTCCGAGTTCAGCAAGGCGTAAACTCATTAAAAAGCAAGTTTAGGCCCAGAATATCCTCATCTACAATTTCCCACAATTTTTTACTTTTCCTCACAGCAAAAATGTTTTTTTCCTTTACTCAAAACCTTAAAAAATCAAAACCTCCCAATGTCAAATTTTTTCCGGGTCCACAAAAATTTGACTTGGAAGAGGTTCATCTGTATTTTCTCTTGATAAACGCCTGGTCTTGTCCCGTCTGTAATAAAGGCCGAGTGTCAAAAAATCTTGAAGCAGAAAATAGCCGGCCCCTAAAACAGGTGTTGACACTCTACAACGATCTTGTCTGAAATGATTTTCTCTGCATTATACTGTACTGTACAACGAATTTTTGCTTTGTCCCATGGGGCTCTCTACCCGTATCAGAGGATTTTTCTACTGCGAAATTATCTCTGCAATAATTTTTTTCTGGTCCATGAGGTGAATCGAAAAGTCGTACTACAAAATTCAATGGACCAGAAAAAAATTTTTGCCGAGATAATTTCGTTGTAGGAAATTCCTATAACATGAGTAGATAGCCCCATGGGTTGAAGCAGAAAATTCGTTATGCAGTACAGTACAGAGAAAATAATTCTGCAATAATAACTCTGTAATAATTTTTTTCTAGTCCAAAAATCCAAAGGGCCAGAAAAAAATTGTTGCAGAGATAATTTCGTTGTAGGCAATTCCTATAACATGAGTGGATGGGATGAAGCAAAACATTCGTTTTACAGAGAAAATCATTGTAGACAAGACATTATTCTCTCGGCAATAATTTTTTTTCTGCTCCCTTGAATTTTGTCGTAGAGAGTCCACGAGTAGTAGCTGGATCAAAGATTACAAAGAAGGTGGGAGAGAAATTGAAAGAATTCTGAGAATTTTATTGATTGAAATCATTTGCCAAGAAAGAGTTGAAATCAACGGGTTTTTTCATATCTTTTCACCCGTGTTTTTCCTGCTTTTTTTTCTGCTGGGCAGTCATGCTCGAGCAAAAGTTGATGACATGTATTTAAAAAAAAAAAAAAAGATGTAAAAATATTTTTTTGCTTTCCTTGAATCATTTGAACTAATTCAACGATTTTTGTTTGTGTGTTTCTTCCTTGTAGGTGAGCGTGGTGGCGGACAGTGTGAACATTTCCGGCCAGTCGAACGCGGTTCAGTTCAAGGTGCCACCGTTGCTCTAATTATCTGAACCGAACCGTATCGGTGATGAAGTAACCTCAATGAAAACTAGAGTGAAACTTTTTGCGTGACCGTGTCTGGCAATTTTATGAGGCGTGGCGTCAGAACTGAAAATTTGTATTACAAGTGTTCTTCGAAAAATTAGTTTTATGTTGGTAAATTAAAAAATAATTGAATGCGAAAGTGGCCCTAAATTAGGGGGTATTGTATCAGAGGAAAATTTTGTTGAGGTCTTCTACGAAAGGTGAAATGGGCTTGTTTGCAGAATTGTTTGACCATTGACTCTTGTTTTATATGGGAGAAAGCCACAGAAAATAATTAAAGGCTGAAATAATATATTTTCCCTGCATTTTTATTTATGTAGTACAGTAGTAACGAATGTAGTAAGAGTTCTGCGCATTTTGGGTCAAGTAAAAGAGCAGAGCTGTTGAAAGTTTCTATCAACTGTTCAATGAAAGCAAACACTTCCAAGATCAGATGGAGTGATTTTTAATGTTTTTCAAGATATTATCCCAGTCATTGATATGCTCTTTGTTTTGGAAGACATCCAACCACCCAATGACATGTAAATGCAGAAATCAAATTTTCAAAATTGATTCTGAGCATGGGCGTGTGATTCTCAGCAATAAGCCTATGATATCCCTAGAAATATACCTCAATGAATCTAATTTTTTGCATATTTTTCATTTAGGGGTGGATATTTTTTGTGGCACTAGTTGTCATTAAATTGGGGTTTCCCTTGAGAACACACTGGAGGCAGAATAGTTTCCAGGGAAATTTGTGGCATTAAATTGAGGGTTGACTGTACATGTAAATGTAAAAAAAAAAAAAATCAGATTTTATAAATTATACATAGCGCGGGCATGTGATTCTCTGTGAATGATAACCCGATGATATTTCTATAAACATTGTATACCTTAATTTATCTGATTTTTGAAATTTTTTTCGTTCGGGGCAAGATATTGTTTGTGTCACTAATGGATCGGATTTTTTCTTTAAAAAAAACACTGGAGGGAGATTTTTTCCAGGGAAAAACCACAGAAATAATTAAAGGCTCAAATAATCTTATTTTCCCGGCATTTTAATTAATTTAGTATAGTAGTACCGAATATAGTAAGATTTTTGCGCATTTTGGGTCAAGTGAAAGAGCAGAGCTTTTGAAAGTTTTTTATCTTCTTTTTGTTGCATTAAATTGAGGCTTGACTTGTAGAATTTTTGAGAAAAATGTAATGATTGCGGATTTCCCTCTCGAAAATTGCGAGACTGTATTGTTCTTTGTTGCGGTGAACAACAACCTCGTGGTCCTGGAAATTGAACGTAGATTTGATTGATTTTTTTTTTCTTTCATTCACTCATGGGGTGTTATTTATTCTATAATTTATTATTTTATTTTCCTTGGCCATGAAGGTGCCTGCGAGTGAATCCCAAGGGCCTGGACGAGGAGAGCAAGGACTACTTGTCCCTCTACCTGCTCCTGGTGTCGTGCAACAAGACGGAAGTGCGGGCCAAGTTCAAGTTCTCCATCCTGAACGCCAAGCGCGAGGAGACGAAGGCGATGGAGAGCCAGCGGGCGTATCGGTTCGTGCAGGGCAAGGACTGGGGCTTCAAGAAGTTCATTCGCCGCGACTTCCTGTTTGACGAGGCCAACGGGCTCTTGCCTGACGATAAGCTCACTCTGTACTGCGAGGTTGGTTTCTTTTTTCTCTTTTTTTCTTCTTCTTCTTTGTTGTCTCTCTTTTTTTATCAGTAATTTTGTCTATGGATGCACGGGGGGCTGGGATGTCCCAGTTCCACGCGTTATTGTTGTACAGTTGAACCTCCCTAAGTCGAATACCCCACTGACTCGAATTTTTTTCCAATCCCTGTCTGGCTTCCCATAGAAACAATGCATTAAGAACCTCCCTGAATCAAAAGTATTCTTCTCTCAAACCTCTGTAAGTTGAATTTTCTGAGGACTTTTGGTTATTATTTCCTTGAAATATGAAAGAGAAAATCCATTTAAAAAATGATTTTATGCATCTTGAAATGAAGCGATAGAATTTTTTTTGTGAGTCCCTGGCTGGATTTCCTTAGAAACAAAGCATTAAAAACCTCCCTAACTCGAAGTCTTTTTCTCTCAAACCTCTGTAAGTGGAATTTTTTAAGGTCTTTTGGTTATTTTTTCCTTGAAATATTAAAAAGAAAATCAATAAAACAAATAATTTTATGCATCTTGAAATTAAGTGAAAGACTAATTGAACAAATGAACCCCTGCCGCCTCCAAGTTCAGCAAGGCATGAACTCATTAAAAAGCAAGTTTAGGCCCAGAATATACTCATCTACAATTTCCCACAATTTTTTACTTTGTCACATCGTTGCATTAAGGCGCTTTCCCATCATCAATTCTTGAAGCATTCCTGTATCATTTTCCAAGAAAGAGTTGAAATCAACGGCTTTTTTCAGATTTTTTCACCCGTATTTTTCCCGCTTTTTCTTCTTCTCCTGTTGGGCAGTCATGCTCGAGCGGAAGTTGGTGACATGTATTTAAAAAAGGAAAGATGTAAAAATATTTTTATGCTTTCCTTGAATCATTTGAACTAATTCAACGATTTTTGTTTGTGTGTTTCTTCCTTGTAGGTGAGCGTGGTGGCGGACAGTGTGAACATTTCCGGCCAGTCGAACGCGGTTCAGTTCAAGGTGCCCGAGTGTCGGCTGGCGGACGATTTGGGCGGCCTTTTCGACACGCAGCGGTTCTCTGACGTTACTCTGTATGTCGGCGGTCGGGAGTTCCTCGCCCACAAGGCTATTCTAGCTGGTGCGTCCCTGGAATTTTTTATTTTTTTCGGATTTTGACATTGGATTGCAGAATAAAATCTACGCCACCAAAAATACATTATGGGGAATGCGATCCTTTTTCGCCTTTGTTCATGTATAAAACACAATTTTGAGTACGTTGCAGAGGGAATTTAGTTTGTTGATCGAGATTTCCGTGACATCTGTGAAAATATTTGTGTGGAAAACTGAAATGTACGAGTAAATTTTTAGAGATTTGAACATTTTGAAATGCCGAGGGATTTCTTCTCCCGCGATTTGGCAGTATAGTACTGTACATTCTATGTTTCGGATTCAGAGCTGAGGAAACACTTTGAGTATATTGTATTTACGCGAGTACCGCGCGCCCTCGAGTTTTTTCAATCATAATTTTTCATGAAATCGTACCCCCGTGTTTTTAGTGACTCTAGAAGTATGTACAATATTTTTAAAAAGTAAGACGTTGAAATTTAGACTGGAGTTTTCTACGAATTGACCTAATTTTCAATTTTTCCATTGCAAAAAGTTTTCCCGTTAAAATTGGTCCAAAGTGTCCCATAAAATCGATTATAATGCAAACCGAATTCAACTAATTTGAACTGAAATTAATTCCGAATTCAACTAATTTTCTATTATTTCCTTTACAATACGTTTTTCCGCTAAAATTGGTCCCAAATTCTTCGTAAAAATCGAATACTGGACACTGCAACCTTTTAAATCTGTTCGAAAAATGTGTACCCGTCTATGACGCGCACCTCCTTTTTTTCCCTCTGTTTTGAGGAAAAATGTGCGCGTGGTACTCGAGTGAATATGATGAACAGCAAGCACTGTAGTATTGCGTGTTGTTTTCAAGACTAAATGTGGAATGATGAAATGGTCAACTAATTAATTGGTTTTTTCATTTGGCAGCCCGGAGTCCCGTGTTCGCGGCCATGTTCGAGCACGAGATGGAGGAGCGGAAACACAACCGGGTGGAGATCACGGACATGGACCACGACGTGTTCAAGGAGATGCTGCGCTACGTGTACACTGGTCGGGCGGCGAACTTGGACCGGATGGCGGACGACCTCTTGGCGGCGGCCGACAAGTACGCCCTCGACCGCCTCAAGGTCATGTGCGAAGAGGCCCTGTCCTCGTCCCTTTCCGTCGACAATGCTGCCGACGTCCTCATCCTGGCCGATCTCCACTCTGCCGAGCAGCTTCGGGCCCAGAGCATCGAGTTTATCAACTCGCACGCCACCGACGTCATGGACACCCACGGCTGGAAGTCCATGATCAAGTCGCACCCGCACCTCATTGCCGAGGCCTTCCGGGCCCTGGCCACCCAGCAGGCCCCGCCGATTGGCCCGCCGAGGAAGAAGATCCGCTCCAGCTAAAATCCCGCCCGCGGGATATTCTGGGATCCGTGTTTTTATTTTCTTTTTTTCCTCTTTTGTCGTTTTCCTTTTATACACACGCATTGTCTGCTGGTTGCTTATTTCCTTTCCGCCATGTGAACGAGTTGCGCGCACCACGCGAATCAGATGAAGACCAAGAAAAATACCCGCTGTTTTTTTGCTCTCGAGGGGAAGATGAAGAGAAAAACACCAAATGCACACATGCGTACTGAAGAAGATGAGAGACCATTCTCGGATCTTTCAGAAAAGTTATTCTTACCCTCCGTATCTAGATTGTCCAGATCCGCAAAAGGCACTTCAAACCCATCAGCTGAAAATACCGAGTTATTTTCTTGCACTGTAATTCTCCAGAACAGCGAACGGATCTTTCAGAAAAGTTATTCTTACCCTCCGTATCTAGATTGTCCAGATCCGCAAAAGGCACTTCAAACCCATCAGCTGAAAATACCGAGTTATTTTCTTGCACTGTAATTCTCCAGAACAGCGATTCCGTCATTTTATTTAATAGATTTCTCCTACGTTTGATTCGGACTAGTTCCTAGTTTTTTGTGGTTCTCTACGCAGGGAGTAAGAAAAAGGAAATAGGGTATTTGCTTCAAAATGATAGATTGAGGACCTAAAATATACGCTTTTTTTATATTCGAGTAGTAGAAAGCATTAGAAAATATAGACGACGACTGTATTTTGTACTGAACGTAAAGGCCGCCTTGAGGAAGCGAGCCAAAAAGGTCGGGAATCTTGCGCATTAATTTTTGTTCGATCATATCAGTCGGTTTATTCATGTACTGTATTGTCATTTTTGGGACAGTGTGGACGTAGACTTTCTGTAATACAAAAAGCAGGAAATCAAGCAACAAACGAAATGTGCAAAACCTAGCATAAAGCGAGTCACGAATGTCGGGAATTCTCCCCAGTAATTTTTTTTTTTTTTCAAGATTTGGTCAGTTTTTTTGAATACAGTATATTGTTTATTTTGGGACAGTGTACACGTTTCGAGATTCAAGTGAGGGATCACGTTACATCATGGGAAGTTGTCTTATCTTCTTGTTTGCGGGTGTGTGCATTTGGAGGGGCGGAATTCGCGCTGCGGTTTTGGTCAGTTCCTTGGTTTAATTTTTTTTTTCGAATCATCCCGGTTTCAAGGAACGAGTGAGAGTGAGGTTAAAAATGAGAGAGCGTGTCACACATGTGGGGTTTTCTGTTTTTTTGGAAACGAAATTTGAGAGGTGTTTTTTTTGTGGAGTTAGTAGAGGAGAAAAACCGCATTAACCGCGTTTGGAAAGAGATGTTTTTTTGGCTTCGCTTTGAGAGAGGCGGTGGACTTGGGCAAGGGAGGAGTGTTGTGGTGAAGACGACGACGACGACGATGATGTTGAAATGACGGATTCGGCTTAAAATCTCAACTTTTCTTGTTAGTTTTTTTGGCTTCGCTTTGAGAGAGGCGGTGGACTTGGGCAAGGGAGGAGTGTTGTGGTGAAGACGACGACGACGACGATGATGTTGAAATGACGGATTCGGCTTAAAATCTCAACTTTTCTTGTTTTCCTCTTCTTAAACGGAAGCGTATTTTGCTCATATTTTGCGCGAACTCCGTATGCAGTGTTCGAGTGCGGATTGTTTATTTTCTCTGCGTTCATTCTTCGTTAGTCCTTCTCGGATTGATAGTATTTATTTGATTTCGAATTCTTCTGTTAACTTCACCTTCGAATGGAATTGATACGAAAGATGTTGCACATTTGGAAGACACTTTCATGGCATCTTCAGATTCAGATATCCGAACCTCGACTAATCATTCACGAAAATTTGACTGCTTTCGAGGAATCAGCGATGAAGGAATTTAATTATAGCTGGTGGAGACATAATTTGGTATAGTAATTGGCCTGAATTTTAAAAGTTCAATATTGAAAGTTGCGGGAAGCTTTTTTGAGAGAACCCAAGCAAGCCATGGTCTTGATGCAATTTTAAGGCTAAAATTTAGCTAATAATCCTGGAATCCTTAAAATAGTATTTTTTCGAAGCAACTCTTCGTCTATGCCCACATTCCTTTACATTCTCTTTATTCCGTGCCTTCGGATCATGTTTAATTGATGCAATTAAGTTTGAAGATATTTCTGGTGACGGGTTGACCGCAAAAAATGAGCGAAATACTTTTCTTTTCCGGCTTCCCCCCTCACGTCTTTCTCTGACTTTGCTGTCGTCTAAGGAAGGGGAAATTAAAATTTTAAAGGGGTCAATGCTGACCCTTCGACCTCTGCGCGAAAACGCTTGTTCATGCCCTCATTTTTGTTTTCAATCGAAGCAAAGAGAAGCGGTGACTTGGGGAGGAGGTAAACGAGATCTCACGTTTCAAGTGTCGAAGATTTTCATTCATTTGTGTCCCCGAGTTTTCCCCAAAGCTTTTTTTTTCGAGGATGAGAGATTAATTCCTTTCGCGTGAGTGCTCGAAAAATGTTTTAGGGATTGTTTCTTTTTTTTGTGTGTCTTTAAAGGAGGGTCTTGGGGTGAAAAACAGCAATCATACGGATTTCTAAAAGCAAGGAGGAAACTGCAGTGAGAGAGCTTCCGGAACAATCAGTTGCTCGTTGCAACGCACGGTGTTTTGCGAAGGGATTTGACAAAAGACTAAGTGCGAGAGATGAAGAAGAAAAAAGAAAGAGGAAAAGCGATGAGAGAGATGACGAAAAGTAGAGGAAGAAAAACAAAAAGGAAATCCTGGCCAGTGATCCCCTTGCAGCGTCCCCCTTTTTTCCCACGTGTCTCTCCTGGTTGTAACCCATCCTCCCTTTTTTTTTGTGTATGTCCTGCCTTTCCGCAAAAGCGAATTTGAATGAGGGATGAAATGTTTTTGTCAAAAGAGCTGCACAGAAAAAAAAAAATCCCGAAGACATCCGATCCACGGATTAATTGGATGGATGATGGAACCCTCATTTGAACTCGTCGAGAGGAGCAACAATATTCTTTTTTGGCACTTCGATGTCCATTTTTTTTGTTTCTGCACAACACCGTTGATTTTTGACACTTCTTCCCGCGCTTATGTGGCTTGTTTTGGTTGTCTCGGGACTGATGTCGCTAAAGGTTGCTTTCGTTTCGCTTTTTGTCGATGTTCGAATATTTTGAGAAGCCATAACGCAAACTCCTTTACTGAGTGCGGAAGATGCTGTGATAAACGAGAAAGAAGAAGAAGAAGAAAAACTTGGGGACCCCCTTCTGTTGTGTTGGTAGAGATGTTGCCCTCTGCAAGAAAAACCCTGGTTAAAAATCTTTTTTTTTTTTACATGTTCAGCTGATGGATGCACTTGAACGCTTTGTGAAGGAGGAAAGGTACAAAGAAGAAAGGCGAGCACTTGTAGCACCCAGTTGGTTTAAAGAAAATGAAGAAAAAAGTCTTCTCGCTCCCCTCCCTTCCCTTGCCAAGCATCCGGAGAACACTCTGAAGCAAGTATTGCAAAGTCAATTGTTGTGATCATCATTCCTACAAAGATTTGAGAGAGTGAGAGGCGAGAGAGAGATTGACAAGAGAGGGAGGTACAGTTGCGCGACTGCGGGCAGAGAAGAGAAAGAAGAATTCCCTCTTGAGCTTCGGTTTTTTTTGTTCAAAAAAGTTTTTTGGATTTTTCTTCGCGTGTCAATTTTTTGTTTGTTTTTGCGCCTCTCGAAAAAGAGAAGATGAAGACGAAGAAGGTATTCGGTGTGTCGCGTGGATGAGCTGGGCTGATCCCCCCCATTGTCCCCCCCTTCCTTTCCCAGGAAAACCGGATCCCTGAGCATTAGGTTTAGCTTCCAGAAGCCATTGTAACCAAGTCCCTGGCAAAAGAAAAGAAGTTGTTGCCCGACCCGCTTTGGTGTGAGGCCACGTCCCCTTGACCTGCTGTAGCTTGGCGAGGAAATCACGTGTTTTATTGGAAATTTTTTGTAATGAAAATGGCTTGCGTTTTTTTTTCTTTCGTCCCGGACTTTATTTTGTTTTCTCGTAGGTTCGGCTTGTTGCGAATTAGGGAGATGATTCTGCTAATTTTTTTCCCGCGAAATTTTCTGGTTCTTTTTTTTTTCTGTGCTCTTCAGTGTAAGTTGATTGAAAAGGAATTCGATGAAAACTGGTTTAGAAAATGAAGGGAAATGTTTGATGAGGAGAAATCAAAGTGCATTCCTTTCATTACGAACTTGAAATCTGTATCTGATGACGACCTATCTTCCTCAATTCAATTTTGCAGTGGAAACGTTCTACTGTACAGTGATGAAGCGACACCTGCACAGGACTACGTAGAGTTTGGACAGGAAAGCAGTAGGTGCCGCTAATTCATAGTGATAGTGCTACGACACCTACGGAGCCCCGCCCAGAAGGTTGCTCTTTTTTCAGTAGATGTCGCTTCTGGAACACCACATCGCATACAGGTACTGTACTGTACTGTATCTTCTTACGGGGCCATGATTGAATGTTTCATGTAATCCCTTTGTACCGAATTGCATAAAGGCTACATGAATGATGATCATTCAGTAGTAAAAAAACTGCATGGACATTCACCTGTAAGGTTTTTGTTTCGCTTCAATTGATGCGTAAATATAACATGTAGGTTGTTATCTCCATCAATATTCTTCTAATGTTCTCCTTCCTCTTCATACCTGGTTCTTCTCAAATGTTGATCCTGATGTGAACTTTTCTCCATTTGTTTAAATGCCAAAATTCACACAGAAACCCCTATCATGGAGGCAAAGGATATTATTTTTACAGCCTTCGTATTCAGGTTGCACGATTATTTTTAAAGTTTGTTTATGCACATAAATGTTTGCAAATGGCAGGTTAATGTACTGTATTCATCTTCATTCCTAAACTTTTTAGCTTTTTGTGGAAACATTAAAAATGCTTACAAAGCTGCATGTGTTCACAAATAAATATAAAAGATAAATACAAGCAGGAGCTGCAGGACACCTCCCTAGCTTGGCAGGTGCGTATATCAAATATGTTTTCTGTAAGGTTGTTTGATTGCAGAGCAATCGATCCGTTATTTACCAAATTTTCAAATAAAACCAGTCGTTGCTTCAACTAAGCACAGTTTCATTCCGAGCTGATGAACGTAATATTTTTGACAATTTCCCAATAAATTCTTTTTGGTTTTTTTCGCGTTTTTGTAGTCCGAAAGGCTCAATCTTTTCATCTCTCTCCCGGAATTGCAAAAAAAAATGCGTCCGAATTAAATGCGAAATAGTGACCTATGAAAACGTTTTCCTCGGTTCCTTGAAAATTCCTACTGACTACACTCATTGAAAAGTCTTCGCTTACAAATTCCGCAGTTTCGCGCAAAGGAAATTGCGGGAGAGAAATGGGTGCCATTTCAAAACATATATACCGGGACCAAAACAAAACCTGCATTCAAAATTTTCATATTTTTTTTCTTCGGTAAAAAATCCTGCGACACTTGGAAAAGGGTTGTGCAAGTTTTTCGCCTCTGTACTTCGGAGTAAGATTCTTGTCAACTGCTTAAACACAAACGAAAAACAAATAAATTCGAGGAAAGAACTATCAGAAATCGATTCCTTCCTTTCTGTGTTGCATCACTGCTTTTTTTTAAAGAACAAATTCTTCAAATTACCGATACAATCCATCATTTTCAAGAAAGAAAGTACATGTCGAAGGGTGACGAGGAAGTTCTTTCTTTAAATTTTCCATAATTTTAGGGCAATAGGGCAATGTAAAATTGTTGGAATAGTGTCATTTGTCACTTGGAAATAATTGGTCAATGTCAAGATCCTCTGGCACTACAGACAAATTTATATTAAATTCTTCTGCATGAAATGCCAGTCTTATAGATATAGAAAAGATAGAGATTTATTATTACGAGAAATGACTAAGAATGATTTTTGCAGGTAGGATATTATTTTTGGCTGAGTCTGAAAATTGGTAGGATCACGCAATGACATTATATAATTTCTTGAACATCAAGGGCGACGTTATTTTCCTTGGCCACATACTTGTGCACATTTTTTTAAAATGAAAAATGTCCATCAATAAGCAGAAATTTAGTTAGAATCTAAGATTAAATTTTCTGGTTTCTTGCTCTTCATCTATTAGCAACCAAGGTTGAGTCGACTGAGGGATTTTCCAGACTGGTTCAAAATGTTCCTTCAAGATTTTAAGTACAGTTTTTAACATTCAAAAAATTATTGTAATTATATATTTTCAATATTGAATTTTCTCCCTGGCATTTTTCCTTCGCCGCTCTGAGGAAAACAGTTTTTAACATTCAGAAAATGCCTTTTAATTATATATTTTAAATATTAAATTTTCTCCCTGGCATTTTTCTTCTCCGCTCTGAGGAAAACAGTTTTTAACATTCAGAAAATGCCTTTTAATTGAACATTTTTCATATTAAATTTTCTCCCTGGCATTTTTCCTTCGCCGCTCTGAGGAAAACAGTTTTTAACATTCAGAAAATGCCTTTTAATTATATATTTTAAATATTAAATTTTCTCCCTGTCATTTTTCTTCTCCATTCTGAGGAAAACAGTTAAAACGATTTAAATCTCCGATCCCCTTTTTCCTTTAATTATTAGAAAGAGTCCACAACAACTGATCATCGTTGTTTCCTCATTCGTAAAATAGTTTTTGGATAACAATATTGCTGAAAAGCCCTGTTCAGAAAAATTTTATACAGCACAGTACCACATTTTGTATATGAATTTTAAAGAAATTTCATTATAAAAAATACCATTTTTTGTACCGCGTACCCTTAATTTTGAAAAGGAAAATTTGACACATTTCCAGAGATATTCCATGATTTGTAGTACAGTATGATTTTGTGAGGTACAGCATGTATTCATGAAGTTTGTGATAATGAATTTACAGCAGTTTATTTACGAGTATAACTTCAAAATTTAGATACAATGTTGAGAAATCCCGCTCAATCGCCATTAAAAATTGTTCCTAATTTATGACGCGCAAAACAATTTTTCTTGCCAATTCAAAAAAAATAAAGAAATTTCGCATGTTCCAAATGTGAATATTGTATTGTATAATATTTCAAGTACCCTAATATTTAAAACTATCATCAGTATCCTTATTCCCCGCCTTTTTCTTTAGCCCATTCGTCATGAAAGCCTTCTTGTCTCGAAGTTGTGCATTTTTTTGTCGTGTCGATGCGAGTTAATTTTGGCAAATATTTTGAAACCGTACCTGAGTTTCAGTCAGCATGAGCGAAGTGGCCACTTCGAATCGCTTCGGACGGGACAAGTACTTATTTTGCTTGAATTGTTTCTCCAATTCCAGCAGTTGCTGGGAAGTGAAAGCAGTCCGAGGTCGTCTGGTTTTTCCCATGGCACCACCTGAAAAAATTAATCAAATCAATTTATAAAAAAAAACTTACAGGTGAACCTCCGTAACTCGAACCTCCCTAAGTCAAATACCCTCCTGCGTCAATTTTTTTTTCAGGTCCCCATCTAAATTTCTTTAGAAACAATACATTAATCCTTGGGCAGAAAAGTTGGACTATTTTCGCGAAACTTTGTTGCCTCTCTATAAAGATCAAAAATTTAAAATTCACAGTTGATTGCCAGCCAAATCCCTTCACAAAGACGCAATTGAATCTTCCCTAAATTCTACACCCTTTTTTATTTGATCTTTTAGGGTCTCTTTGCTGTTATTAAATTGAGGTTAACTTTTAGAAAACGTGTTCCAGAAAACACAAGAAATGCAAAGTAATTCATTTATACTCTCTGTATACAAGTATTCATTCGTCTTCCTGCATGTAGGACATCTTTGAATTATGAAAAGACATCATAATTTCGCCCAAAAATAATCTCCATTTATCTATACCTACCCAAGCTAAGCCAACTTCCCTGACTCAAAACCCTTTGAATTTGAATTCTTTGATGATCCTTCCAAAGAAAAGAATACAGTCAAACCCCGATAAGACGCCACCATTTGTCCAGAGCAATTCTGGCGGTTTATCAAATATTTCATTTCAAATCATTTTATCAAAAATACTTGATTTTCCTTCAAAAGTAATAAGTTTTCCAGAAACTTCAGTAATTTTCCAAAGAGTATTGCTGTGATTTATGCATTAACTCCTTCAGAAAATAATTTTTCTGTATCAATTTATTCAAATTTTAGAATTAGGTCCATACATTGTTCAAAGTTTTCGAAAAATGAAGATTGTCATCTTATTTTCTTCTTACCAATACAAGATCCTGGACAGAAAATATAATTGTACCCCAATGTTGACATTGTAACAAAGACAAAACTAATACAAAACATCACTTTTGTTTCATCGCTAATGCTCACGGATGGCAGTCGGCGTCTTATCGAGGTTTTCTATGGCATTTAGTATTCATCCAAAATGTTGGCGGTTGCCAAGGGTGGCGATTTATTGGGGGGCGTCTTAACAGGGTTCGAGTGTACATTGTATTCAAAATTGTGTTATTAAAACTACCACAAAGCCAAAAAAAAAAACAGTTTTGAGTTCCAAGCGTTTGTTTGAAGCTCTGTGAGTCCTACCAACCAAACTAGTGCGCATTGAAAAATACGGCGCCTGACAAGAATACTCTTCTTTCTTTTCTTATCTCTCTCTCTCTGGAAAGCAATTGCAGAATTTTCGGTCAGTGGGAACTATGAGTTACTCGCGAGGAATGTACAAGCATCTTCTTCTTCTTTTTTTTTTTCTTGCGGACAAACGACCGGAACCCACGAGGGAAATTCCGGCGCGGGGTCCGAAAGTCCAGATCGAACCCGGGTCCGACGAACCCCCCAGTGAGCAAAAACCAGACCCATCATCCGGATTTTTTTTTTTCTTGCGGACAAACGACCGGAACCCACGAGGGAAATTCCGGCGCGGGGTCCGAAAGTCCAGATCGAACCCGGGTCCGACGTTGGGGGGTCACTCGTTTTTGGTCTGGGTAGTAGGCCCCAACTAACTACCTCTAATACCAAGCCGGTTCGTGGCTGACCGATATACCTGACACAAAGGTAGTGGTGCTAAGGACTGTCTCGTTTTTTAGGGGCATTTCAGAATAAGCATCACTTTTTTTGCTAAAATACTCTACTCAATGACGGTATTATTGAAGGTCAAAAGGGGTTGAAAATACTGTACTGCATATGAGCAATTTCCATTTTCAAAGTTGCACACTGTACTGAATTGTATCGATGGTACCCAGGGTTGAATTGCAAAGCAGTCCAATTGCAATTAAGACACTTCGTTAAATGTAAAAAAATATTGGCACAAAGACGCGAAAAAATTGGCCCAATTGCCCAAAAATTATGTCAAATTGCGGGGCCAGGGTCGAAGTGCGAGTCAACCTCCCTGCAAATTTGACTGTCAAATTGAAGGTACCACATGTACATGTAAAAAAATTTTTTAAAGCAATAGATGAGCCCAACTTTTTACATCCCAGTGATTTCCCTAGGATGGAATTTACTTTTAGAAAACATATCCGAAAAGGCCTGGATTTTAGTATCAAAGAATTTTCAAGTATTTTTTCCCATTAACAATTACAGTATTAAAAGGATAGTTTTTTAAAAGAACATTTTCTTCTTTGGATTACAGCATGGTTTTATGGACAATTGAATGAATAATATTTATTTGGATCAAAAGTACGCTGAAACTTGAAGAAGACAGCATTCCTTTATTATGCATAATATTATGTTCATCAATTTTATTTTTTTAAGCGACAAAAATAAAAATTAAAACCTCAGTACTTCAAAAAAAATTGTGAAGCATTGTTTCTTTGAGGATTTAAAATACTCTGGAATATGGATCATAAAATAAAAATATGGCGTTGAGGAAATTTTTCATACTTCATGAGAGGAACCTCCGATTTCAATTAGTGAAATCTCATTACAACGACTCTCATTATAACTAATTATTCCTCACAACAGATTTTTTTTCTTTCAGTCAATGCCCAATACTGTAGTCACAATAATCTTACTTGAATTCTTTTATGATGAATTTTTGTTGCAACAATGATTTTTCCTTGTCCAAATAGTTTGATGTCACTAGATTTTACTGTAATTAAAAAAAACTATTTTCATCCTGAAAAAGAAACACCCCCTCAAGTGTAGAACATGCCCAATTTGATGTCGGTATATTCGTTTGTCATTTATATTTATTTCCGACGAGTATTTGCGTTCGCGAACTTTTTTTTGGTACCATTAGAGGAACAGATGATTTCGATACAGTAGTTGGAAAAAAATTTTCATTCGGGCAGAATGAGGAAAAAAAAAATAGAACGAAATAGCACACATAACATGCCCTTCATGAACCTTGAGGTCCGCTATATTCATTTATTTTTCAGTAGATTTATTTTCTACGAGTACAGTACTTTTTTCAAAAACGTAATCTATTATTGTACAGAGGAAAGAACGAGTTCAATTATTCGAAAATAACCAATGCTCATTTTGATAAAAAAAATATAAAAAAACCGTTCTGAAATTTTAAAGGATCAAGATAAACTGTTGACTTTATTTGATTTATCATCAAAGATTCTCTCTAATTTGTTCATTCAACTAAACCTCATACAGAAACAAGCTGAAGACCTTATTGTGCTTTAAAATTAATTTTTACAGATATTTTGTTACCAATGTCAGGGAATGAATGGGTGTATGCATACATGTCAGATGTCAAGTTGTAATTCATTTTGTATTGTATTTTCTTTTATTTTTGTAATCGATTTGTGCTTTCCTGCTCTGAAGTGATTAAATGTCCTTGAGTGGATTTGGGTTGGGTGGGAAAGGGGGTTTGGTTGTGGAAATCTTGATTGAAACTTGTGAACGCTGAAAAGCGGCAAATAAAGTGTTCTGTTCATTCATTGATTCATTCATAATAAATATAGATATATATATACATGGGATGATGGAAGAACAGCCGCTAATACACAGAACGTGTCCGGCATGAAGCCCATTTTATTCATTTGTAAAGTATTTAATTTTATTTTTTTTGCGAACGATGCTGTATAGAGAAAAATGGTTGAAAGACATGGAAGGGAAGAAGACAGAAAGAAAGAAAGAAAGAAAGATTGATTTAACTATGGTGAGGAGGGGAATCCCGCGTTTATTCCCGAGTGGGCTTATAACGAGGCGCTCCAGTAGACCTCTGATCCACCATTTTTCCACCAAACCCAACCCCCCATTTTCCCTTTCTATTCTCTCTCTCTCTATTTCTCTTTCCAGCTATGGTGGTCAGTGTCCTGGAAGGAAATCTCATGCTGAGTGAAACGGCAAACATCCAGAGACTTCTCCCACTGATCTTCCGCCGATTCCTCGAATTTATCTCCCAATTTTTATTTTTATTTTTTCCTGGGATCGTCTTTGCGGTTCCTTTTATAAATCTCTCTGCTGCTGGGGTTGTCCCGGATTTCCAGAGAAGTTATCTCTCTCTCTCACTCTGGTTCGATTCTTATTTGTTCTTTTTTTTTTGTTGTTGAATAGTCTCTTGATTTTTAGGCGGGGTGATGGCGCGTAAAAAATCCCTCCTCTCTTCCACGGCCCTTTGTTAGGAAATTGAAGTGGAAAAACTATTTGATTTCGCTTGATTGTCAGAAAGACGTCTCTCAGCCGAAGTCTCAGGTCATTTACATACATAATCTGTAAATCCATAAAGTTTGATCCCATTTATCTTTGACCTGAGTGTTGGAAAGTAGTACTGTAGCATGCATAGACGTATATATGCCACCACAAAAATATTATTTTAAAAATATTGAAGAAAATACTGCAGATGGAAATACAAAAACTTCTTATCCCACGCACACACGGCATCTTTTCTCCGAAATGACTAGGGATAAAGAGTAAGGTACACATGGTGGGTACGCATACATAAATATTTTTTTAAAGACAGCAGAGGGATAATCATACAGTTTTTTTATTAATTAAAAATTCTGAAACAGGTGAAACTCATCCTACAGAGAAAAATAATCCTTGTGTGGGAAAAAATAGAGGAAAACTGAATTTCCCATTGGAGTCAAACCTCCTAATCCAAGAGAAATAATCACCCAAGCAAAAAAGTCATTTAAAAGGAAAAAAGTCACCTTTGGTCAGCAAAAATAGGGGTGTGTATCCAATGCAGGAAGAGAGTTTTTTGCTGAAAATTTTACACACAAGAAAATTCAGGTGTGTGTCATACTGGAGAACACATATATGGTACACAAATCAAAACAATACTCACTCAGACTGGGACAGTTACAGTAATACTGTACAGTAGTTGTTCACAACAACAGTGTAGTTATTTAAAAGTTTCCAAAAATGGATGCTTCTTGATACATTGGTACCATAGTTGGTTTTCAGCAATTATTGTTCTCACCTTATGCGTATCTCATGTCTGGATTTCACAGTACAGTATTTCTTAATTACCAGCAAGGAAAAATGTCTATATGAATCAATATTTTTTATTTTTGGCTTGCTAAATTGATTTACCAAGTATAAATTGGAGTAATTCAAATCAAATATTTTTCAGCCTTGGCCTACAACACTTATTCATTACAGTGTAAAGTATCACCTTTTTCTGAAAGCACTTCAAATCAAATATGTACATCTATACCGGAATTTTTTTTATCTTTGGTATGATATGCTGAAAATCTGTAATTTGCTGAAATGTTGCTCTCTGCAACACCGATTATCCAATATCATTAAAAAATAATCTCAAATTGAAATTTTCCACTTTGGCCTGTTGCACTAAATTATAATTTTTTCATAGTTGAATCACAAATGGTACCTTGCTATTTGACCCTAATTGGTTGCCAAACTAGGGTCAAATTGCAAAGTGGTTAAATTGTGAGACACATTGTGGAAATCAAAAATATCCACGGAAAAACACAAAAAAAGTGGCCAAAGCAATTCAAATTGTGGAGAGAGGGTCAAATTGCAATTCAACCCCCCTGAAAATTTGACTGTGAAATTGTGGAACAGTCAAATTGTGTGACAGTCAGAATGTGGGAGGTCAAATTTTAAGGTACCACCTGTATTATTTTTTATCCTTGGACTAGCAAGTAAAAATTCTCAAGATTAAGGTTTTTTTTTCATCAGTGGCCTGCTACATTTATTTTCTCAGTCTAATTTTTCAAAAGAATTTTCAGTTAACTACACTATGGTACAGTATTTCTTGCTAATATTTGGCATGCTACAATGAAAATTACAATGAATCTCTAGTTGGATTAACATTTTTGCTCCTGTCTGCTGTACACCATGAAAAAATTAATCTCAAGTAGAAGATTTATTTTTTCTACGGCCTGTTGAACTAAATTATACATTTTTAAAAACTTGAATTCTCTTTTTTACCCGCGATGTTTTTTTCAATGTACGGACATGTATAAATTGCGCTTTTCTTAATTAATGATTTATTTCTCCGTGCACTGCTATATACGTATTTACCCAGTCTCGTTTTTTTCATATGAATTTTCAGTAAACTACCGTATTGCTTGTTGATATTTGGCCTGCTACACTGAAAATCTCTATATAGAGTCTGCAGTTGGATGAATTATTTTTCGCGCCTTTGGCCTGCTACACCGGTGTTTCCTGTCTCCTTTTTCAAAAAAAAGGGGGGGGGGACCCACGGGGTTGAGAAGAGGCTCATCCGCTGGCACACTGCGACACACTGTCACATTACAATGAATTACATTCCCCTGATCACTGGCGACAAAGCGAGGGCGCGGGAAACGCGGCAAATTGCCCTCTTAGGCCCCCTGGTCCGTAATTGACTCTGGCTGCCGAGCACGGGATAGATGAATTGGGTATTCTCACTTGTCTGGGACAGCAGGTTGTTCCTCAACCTTCTTTGGCCCGCGGACCAGCAAATTTCAAACAAACAAAAAATATTTGTGGACTGGCAAAGTCCTTGGTCTCACTGTAGTACAGTAGTAACTTTCAATACCTGTCATGAAGTCTTCCAAGCTAGACTTCTGCTGTGAGCCTGCAAATTTTTTTTATGAAACATTGCCAGTCTGCAGAAAATAATGTGTGGGAATTTGC